TTTTATTGGTAGTGAAAAGTGGTATGAATTTCATTTTGGTAAAGTATCTTAAAACTGTGTAGAAATTGTATTTTGAATATGAGTATTGCGGGGAAAACAATTTTAATATCAATTTGAAAAAAATATTAGTTGCTTGATACATTTCACATGATATATAAAGAAATAAATAATATTTCTGTCCTTGTTTAATTTTTTTTTCATCAATGTAATTTTTTCATTTGTTCAGTTTCACCTTTAAAATATGTTATTGACGCAAGGCTGCTATTTGATTTTTTGAACAAATTGACTAGATTATTTTATTAAGTTGAGAAAACAATATATCAGCATTGATATATCGCCTTCTGTTCACGTTGGAATATCACTGGAGCTATGTATATTTCAAACTTTAAAAAACAATTTTACCTAGTAGGTTAATTTGTATATTGAGGGTTGTCTGCATCAAAGATTCTGTTCTGTTTATCTGTAGATGTAGAATAATAGTTTGATATTCTCTAACAAATACAAAATGGCATGATCAAGTTTTCCTGACTTGCTTGTTTTTTCCCATTTTAGGTATCCACTATATTGGAGGAATGAGAAATTTGACTAATTTCAAGGTTTATATTGATCACATTACTGACGGGCAGCTGCAATGGACTGGTGTTGTAGAACCCTACGATACAGTTGTAATTGGAGACAACGAAAAAGCAAGACATTATCCAATGTACGGTGGCAAGGATGAGTTCAAACAAAGTCTCTTGGATAAGTTTCCACAAGAAAAAAAAGCAATTGATAAATACTTTGATCTTCTGAAGGTATGCTGTAATTTTGTCAACATTTTTGACTCCCATGTGCGAAGCACAAAATGGGAGTCTTTGCAGTTAGTGTGTATGTATGTATGTATGTGTGTGTGTGGGACACTGCACAGACCTGATAGTTTTCAGGGTAATATTATAATTTTAATTACCTAATTTGCATAATTAATTAATTTTCAGCTTTTGATGTACTCAAGGACTATGCAGAGATTGATTGTTTTGGGATAAATATTTGTGCATATTAATCACCTAATTTGCATAATTAGTTAATTTTCAGCTTTTACACAGATATCTCAAGTACTAATCATCACATTTCAATGAAACTTGGTACATAGATTCTTTCTGACTATCCAGAGATCTGATTAGTTTTAGGGTGAATAATTGTGCATATTAATTACCTATTTTGCATAATGATTAGTCAATTTTCGGTTTTTCCGCTGATATCTCAAGTACTAATCCTCACATTTCAATGAAACTTGGTACATAGATGTCATAGAACACTGCACAGACCTGATAGTTTTTAGGGTGATATTATAATATTACCGGTAATTACCTAATTTGCATAATTAATTATTTTCAGCTTTTGATGTTTCAAGTAGTAAGCATTACATTTCAATGAATCTTTGTACATAGATACTTGAGGACTATGCAGAGATTGATTGTTTTGCGATAAATATTTGTGCATATTAATCACCTAATTTGCATAGTTACGGTAGTTAATTTTCAGCTTTTTCACGGGTATCTCAAGTACTAATCATCACATTTCAATGAAACTTGATACATAGATCTTTTAGGAGTATCCAGAGACCTGATTAGTTTTAGGGTAAATAATTGTGCATATTAATTACCTAATTTGCATAATTAATTAATTTTCAGCTTTCACACTGATTTCTCAAGTACTAATCATCACATTTCAATGAAACTTTGTACATGGATGCTGTAGGACAATAGACAGACCTGAATCATTGTGGGTTAAAATCTGTACATATTAATTAAATAATTTGCATAATTAACCATTTTTAAGCTATCACACTGATATCTAATTATTCCATTTCAATGAAACTTAGTACAAAGATGCTCTAGGACAATGTACAAACTTGATTAGTTTGGGGTTAAAATCTGTTTATATTAATTCCCTAATTAGCATAATAATTCATAATTTTTGTTGGGTTCCAATCACATTTCAATAAAACTTGGTATATAGATGGTCTGTTACATTGCGCAGACCTCATTAGTTTTACACTCAAGTTGTTCATACTGTATGAATTTTCTGATTTGCATTATTAATTTTCAGCTTTTCCATCAAAATCTCAATCAAGTACAAGTAATTTTGAATTATATTTAATGTGTCTCGAATACTCTCAACACATGGGAGTTTTTTCTAAGCTTTCTTTGATTACATATTGATAATAATATAGAGGATCAGGTAAGAAAAAGTATATGTATTTACATGTCACATAGATGCTCTGGGGTAATACACAACCCTGATTAGTTTTGGTTTGAAATTTATGTGATATGACTCATGGTTTCCGATGACTATATATGGCAATGTAACCTTAATATGCATAACTGTAATATCTTAAAAATTGGTGCAGATAGGGACATGCAACTGGTGCTATAAGTTTGTTGTACGACAAGATATGTGACTGAAATATCAGTTCATCATAATGGGAACCACCCTGAGCATTGCTTGTAGTTATATTTTTGACTCCCGTGTGCAAAGCACACAAAGATGCTCTAGGACAATGTATAAATCTGATTAGTTTGGGGTTAAAATCTGGTCACATTTCAATAAAACTTGGTACATAGATGGTCTGTTACATTGCGCAGACCTAATCAGTTTTACACTCAAATTTGTAACTAGTTAACTATAATTAATTTTCAGCTTTTCCATCAATATCTCAAGTACAAGTAATTAAATTTCAAATTAATTTTTACTGTGTCTTCAATACTCTCTCAGCACACAGGTGTTCTTTCTAAGCTTTCTTTGATTTAACGCTGTGTTTGCTCTATTAGAAGTAAATGCGCTAACTTCATGCCTCCACTATCTTCAGCAGCTCTTCAGTTATTCAGTTCTTCCTAATCTTTCTTTGATTAACTCTATGCTCTAGATTGCTGTCATGGGTTGTTTGTTTATTTTTCAGGCAACTCGTGCAAGTGCTCTTGGTCATGTTATGGCCAAAATAGTTCCAACATGGTGGATCGATTTCCTTGCTTCCACTGGCCTGATACATTACTTCACAAACTATTACAAGTATTCCCAGCGCAGTGTATCAGATGTAATGAATGAGTTAACAGATAACAAAGAGCTACAGACTGTCATTGCATATAGTTTTGGTGACTATGGTGAGTGGCCATGTGTGTTCAATTATTACTTGTGCAATGAAGAATTGCCAAACAAACAAACAGGTCAGGTCAGGTTAGGGGTAGCAGGCAACCAGTCTGTGTACTAATATAGAGTAAATATAACTGGTACATAATTAATCTCAAGTAAGCTTGGGTAGAATTGTTTCCTCCTAAATTTTAGCCAGTATTTTTCTTACAAAATGCTCAGATATATTATTGCATTGTTTCAGGGCTTTTATACTATAAAAGATTGTATATTGTTAGTTTGTACCCATCTATTCCTTTCTTATTTGATCTAAATGGGCAATGTTGTATTAGTTATGCTATTTTTCACAAAACCTTGATAAAAATATATGGTCGCTGAACTATTTTTTGCACAAAACGCAGACCAAACATTAATAAAAATGGTGATTTTTCTGCCATTTATTATTACTTTCTATGGTAAAGATATTTCATCATTTTGAATTATTTCTTTTCTTTCAGGATCTCCACCATCTGAGGGTAGTTTTGCCATGCACTGTGATCTCATCAACCATATGCGTTATGGTGTCTCATATCCAGTCGGCGGTGCCAGTGAAATTGCCTTCCATATCATACCCAGTATAGAGAAGGCTGGTGGTAAAGTCTTAGTTAGAGCTCAAGTTTCGCAGATCTTACTCGAGGACAGTGGAAAAGCATTTGGTAAGTTTGATCTGATTATTGTAACTTATGAGCAGGAACGTAAACCTGGTCTTCGTGTATATGTAGATAGATTTAAATATGCGAAGAAGATTTGCAACAATCTCTGGCTTTTCATCTTGCATATATCATTGGATATGCATACACATCAATAAATTCCTATATATATATATATATATATATATATTCAGTACTACCCCGGTATAGGCCATGGGCCTTACATGTACAATATTAAATATTCGTGAAAATAAATAAATAAACCTCCCCCAGTCATTCCATAAGTTTTCAACGTTTCTGTAATGAAAAGAAAATAATCTTGCCTAGATTTACTAATGTATTTGAATTACTTGAATTAACGAAATAAATTTTGCATTCTGCTGCTGGAGAAAAATAAAAGTGTGGAATAAATTTTAGCCTAAGATTGGCATATTGTGGGCAAATTAGGAACATGTGATATTCATCTTCAATTTGATTACAACAAAATGAACAAAACCTCTGTTCCAGTGGAACCCTCATTCCTTTCCCAGTCTCAATATTTAGCTCATGTGTAGAAATTCTAAAACAAGACGGTGCCCTTCTATAAGTAACATTTGAAATATGTATTGCATTGTGTTTCTGCAGGTGTTCGTGTTCATAAAAGCAGTGGTGATGTTGATATTCATGCTCCAATAATAATATCAGATGCTGGATTCTTTAATACGTTTCAGTCTCTTCTACCACCACAAATTATGGATAAATCAGGTAAATTTATTTAACATCATGTCTAGTTAGACATTGTATCATCTATCCTAGCTACTATGTATTCACCATCTATTTCTTTTATGCTTTGCTCAAATATCTCTATTTTACAAGCTATTGTAATTTTTTTATTTTAACTATTTGGGAATCCCTAAATTATTTTTTCCAGATAGTCTTTCTCCATTTGTATTGTAAAGAGTGGTAACTGATCACATTCAACTTTTGCAAGTTTATTATATATCATATTTAAAATATTTAGATGATAATGATTTTATTCATATATGCTCTGATCTATTTTAAAGTAAGCAAATCTGTTAGTATTGTTGCACCATATGTGTATTCTTAATGTGTAAGTACTCTTTAAATCGTTCAACCATTTTCTTTTCAAAAGGTTTCAAACCTATGGTAAAAAAGGGTACAATTAAACATGGCGTTGGAGCAATGTCAATTTTTGTGGGACTGAAAGGATCCAAAGAAGACCTTGCTCTTGAGGGCCGTAATTGGTGGGTGTATACAAGCAACGACATTACTAATATAACAGAGGAGTATATTGGTAGAAGTGTGGAAAATGTGCTGAAAGATGATATCCCACTCTTATTCATTTCATTTCCATCAGCAAAGGATCCAACATGGGAACAACGTTATCCAGGTAAGTTCAATATCTACTATGTTAGACTGCAACCAACTTATTAAAATATAACAATCGTTTATGTGATTTATATCTGCCATTGCAAGACATGTATCTTATTTTTCATCAAAGTGACTATATGTTGGGAAATATCTTAGAATTTGCATCTTAGAAATGGCCATCTTTACACTTACTCACATCTTAGAAATGGCCATCTTCACACTCACTCACATCTTAGAAATGGCCATCTTCACTTTACTCGCATCTTAGAAATGGCCATCTTCACACTTACTCACATCTTAGAAATGGCCATCTTCACACTTACTCACATCTTAGAAATGGCCATCTTCACACTTACTCACATCTTAGAAATGGCCATCTTCACACTCACTCACATCTTAGAAATGGCCATCTTCACACTTACTCACATCTTAGAAATGGCCATCTTCACACTTACTCACATCTTAGAAATGTCCATCTTTACACTTACTCACATCTTAGAAATGGCCATCTTCACACTTACTCACATCTTAGAAATGGCCATCTTCACACTTACTCACATCTTAGAAATGGCCATCTTCACACTTACTCATATCTTAGAAATGGCCATCTTCATGCTTACTCACATCTTAGAAATGGCCATTTTCACACTTACTCACATCTTAGAAATGGCCATTTTCACACTTACTCACATCTTAGAAATGGCCATCTTCATACTTGCTCACATCTTAGAAATGGTCATCTTCACACTTACTCACATCTTAGAAATGGCTATCTTCACACTTACTCACATCTTAGAAATGGCCATCTTTACACTTACTCACATCTTAGAAATGGTCATTTTCACACTTACTCACATCTTAGAAATGGCCATCTTCACACTTACTCACATCTTAGAAATGGCCATTTTCACACTTAATTGCATCTTAGAAATGGCCATCTTCACACTTACTCACATCTTAGAAATGGCCATCTTCACACTTACTCACATATTAGAAATGGCCATCTTTACACTTACTCACATCTTAGAAATGGCCATCTTCACACTTACTCATATCTTAGAAATGGCCCTCTTCACACTTACTCACATCTTAGAAATGACCATCTTCACACTTACTCACATCTTAGAAATGGCCATCTTCACACTTACTCACATCTTAGAAATGGCCCTCTTCACACTTACTCACATCTTAGAAATGGCCCTCTTCACACTTACTCACATCTTAGAAATGGCCATCTTCACACTTACTCACATCTTAGAAATGGCCATTTTCACACTTACCCACATCTTAGAAATGGCCATGTTGAAACATCTTAGATATGGCCATTTGGACACTTACTCACATCCTGGAAATATTCGTGTGGATATAAGATATTACACACATCTTAGAAATGATTATGTGGAAACTTACACACCTGGGAAGTGACCATTTTGTCAAACATGTCTTTAAGGTGTTACATTTCTTAGGAATGTCATGCGGGCACACCTACATCATGATACAATACTAAAAATTAGTATAATATAAACTGTTAAGAACAATTTTACTCTTATATTTCACAGGAAAGAGCACCTGTGCTGTAGTTACACTTGCTAACTGGGAATGGTTCAAAAAATGGGAAAATGAAAGAGTGATGAAGCGTGGAGAAGAGTATGATAAACTAAAAAACTCTATTGGTGAAAGAGCATGGGCTCAGGTTCTTAGGTTGTTTCCACACCTAAAGGATAAGGTGAATGTTTTTATTATTTATTTCTGCTATTGTCCATCTATCAATTTTTACATTATTTTTAAAACCTCTTCTGCAGAACCGTTAGCCTGATTTATTTTCATGTTTTGGTGGTTCTTCTTTGATTGATTAATATGCTAATATTTACCAAATACTGTAAATCTGATAGCCTTTCCAGATATGTACCTTGAATGACTCTTTTGTGGATTTTCTGGTTCACTTAAGGTGTTCGCTTTATTTTTTAGCTAATACATGTCACTGTCACTTGGTATCACATCTCACACTTATCTTACACTGCTACAGTCTTCAGTGAAGTCAATTCTATTTACACCTGTGTTCACAGCAGGCAGTGGGAGAATTTGAGATGTTTTCTTGACATTGTGTATTTGGTATAAAACAGTCGTATCAGAAAACATTTGAAGTTAGCCCCAAACATCTTTCCCACAAAGGATACGACTTTTGCAACCATATTAGATTCATCCCCCTAAAATATAAAATGCTCACAATTCATTTTTGTGCACCCACTAACCACTTTTTCTCATAATTGTACCAGCATTTAATTTTTAGTATATATCAACAAAGCACAAAACTGAGTGCCTTTGTTTCCATTTTCGTGTTTGATATCATGACATTTGTTTAAATCTGTAGGTTGACTATTTTGAAGTGGGGTCACCTGTGTCTAATAAATATTATTTGGGGTCGCCTGCTGGTGAAATCTATGGATTAGATCATACTAAAGAGAGATTTGGACCTAAGGCTGTGACTAGATTAAGGGCTCAGACTATGGTACCAAATCTATACATGACTGGTAAGTCAGTTCGAATATTGTGATTTTTATTGAAAAAAGGATTGTAGTGATCCCATCAATTACATGGTAGATGTGGTCAGTAGTAATTTTTCTGTAATTTGCGATATATTCTTGCTGAATTGGATGCATGCATACATGAGTCATACATAGGTAGGGTTACTTATTAATGTACATCGTTTTGTTCCATAATTATACTCAAAATGTGCCCTACCCATTTCTCTGACACACTTTTTGAGGTTTTGTTTAAGTACAAAGACACTTTGCTGGTGGGTTCAATACAAATGATATCAACATTGTCATAGTGTTTAGATAAACTGCTGCTATGCTATTGGTCGGAATGCTGTTTGAATAATATGCACTGGGCTTTATGGCAAGACAATTTGGGAGGCAGCGAGTGTGAACTCCTATTTTAATCCATCTGCATCACAACAGTACTTTGATAACTGTGAAGCACAACTCACTTGTTTGAAAAGTTTAATTATTATTTTTTCACACCAGGTCAAGACATATTAAGTTGTGGTTTTGCTGGTGCCGCTTATGGTGGACTGCTCTCGGCAAGTGCCGTTCTCAACAGAAATCTATTCAAGGATCTTTCTCAACTAAAGAAGACCATTGCAAAGAACAAGTAAAAAACCCGTACAATGATCGATGAGCTGAAGAAATGTTAAATGCATACTTCCCCTCCCCCAGCATCATATGTTTATAATATTTACTTATATATGAACATTAAGCAGAAATAGTAAAATTATGGTGAATGATCTGTATAATAATTCTATAAATGGTAAAATTTTAGTTGGTTTGAGTATATTTTAAGTACTGAGACGAGTTGTTTTTAATATAATGTATGAATATAATATTCAATATAATGTACTAAAGATATTTTCTTGTTATAAATAAGGTTATAAATAAATTATAATGTATTATGTGAATATAAATATGGTGTTATGTTTCATTTTAATACTAGTGTATTTGCAGAATTCTCTCGCCAATACGCACACACAAACTATTATTGTGACCCGGCGCCACTACTTAACCACTTGTCGGTTTCGTGGCGGCACCTTTTACTACTGTAATTCGCTTCCCTCATGCATGGCCTCTTCATTTTATGCTTGATCTATGTATTTAGAAATGAATAGATGTAATGACAGCACCAGGGCTCGCTGCCGTTTTTTTGGGTCTCTCGTGTTTCGAGTAGACTGTGCAGTGGTTATATTCAGAATTCATCAGCATAGAACTGCATCCGAAATACTTTGTGTACCTGCATGCGGGGTTCAGAGTTTTTGCCGTGAAGACGTGTGTTTTTTCACTGGAGTTTTGAGGCCTGAGATTTTTCTTTCAGAGCCATTAAAATCGCTGAGACTGACCGCGTCGCTCGTTTTTTCACAGCAAGGTCGCGCGTCCAGTAAACAAATCGGTTAAAGTGAGTGCGTGTTTGGCATGAGTGGAAAGTCCTCACGCTCGGCTACCGGTGCTTCGTGTACCAGGACATTTTTTCTCGGTCTCCCTCCGCTGATCGGAGGGCAATCCTCAGTCTTTTTTTTCAGGCGGTGGTTTATCTGAATTTACCGGCTGCAGCGAGGCTTTCCTCCTATGGGGCTCGTTGCAGGTCCCTTTATGGACCCTTCCTCGCATGGCGCCGGGTTTGCCTCCGAGTTGAGGGCTTTGGTCGAAGGACTGTCGGGGCAATTGCGCCCCTGGCAGGCCTGGTAGATCAGACGCAGTCGGAGCGAGCTGTCTCCACTGCGGCCCCTCGGTGGGCAAGCAGGAAGAAACACAAAAGCATGTTTGCATTCAAACACGTCTCTTCCGGGGAACCCCCATTCTCAGCCGCGGTGCTCCCACTAATTTGGGTGAGGCCGAGGCTCAGGCTAATTGCACTGGGCCTCCTCTGGAGCCTCTGGCACTGAATGCCAACTGGGTGCTGACAGCCAAGACTCCGATCTCGGGGCAGGGCTTTCAGGGCAGGGCAGGGCACACGTTGACCCCTCTACTTTCAGCCAGTCAGGGTTCGTCGCGCGGTAACGGTACAACGGTAACAAATTTATCCTTGTGTCCGGTCTCTGCTGTGGGTTTTGGACTCCCTTCTTACCGACCCACAGTCACAGTCGAACACGCTCCCTCTCACATATTTAAAGTGAAAGGAGACGCAGTTCGCTCCCTCAGAGTCTTCCATCCGTAATGACTCAGTGAGCCACGCTTTTGGGGTGATGCGGAGTATCATCGATCCCAGTGATACCTAAGGTTGCTTCAACGCTTAGGGGATCATGGGCATCTGGATCCAAAGCAACCCCGTCGGCACATCTCTCCCTGTCCGTCTGAGTGCGGAGTGGGGCGCAGGACACGCAAACGGTGTTGATGGGCTTACGTTTGTCATCCACGGAGGACATAACGCTTAAGGCCCCCGGGTGGGGAAAACCTTAGGCAACACTTCCCGCTGGGCCAAACGCTACCCAGTCGGTGTGGTTTCGGGATCAGACCCCATAGCGTGGGATTAGACCAAAACGCCCCCCAACAGGATCCCAAGGCTCCTTCCCCAGACCCCGGTACCACGAATTTCCGTTTGGCAAACCGGGCAAAGGGGGACAGCCGCGTTCCATGGGCATTCTCGCCAGCTCAATCGAAGACGACCCATCCAGCCCTGAGGGCAGAGTTGCTTGAGCGCAATATTGCGCGCGCCCAGGACTCTGAGACCTCGGAGGCAGAACGCACCAACCTCCTAGACCAGGCGACACATTTTCTGGCGGGCCACCGCACATCTACGTGTGACATCCATCTGTCTCTCTTGGCTGGGGTCACTACTGTGCTACGAGACGGGGCCTTAGACGCATGTGTTTTTGCCGACAAGCTGAGTCAGGGGGTACGCCCCCACCTCAGTGACGCAGACTGGACATCTTCCACCCTTTTTGTTCAGGTAATGGTGGGTACAGTCTCGGAGCTTCGAAGTGCAATGAACCACAGGGTTCAGATCGAATTCGCTAGTCAGTTGGTTCTAGCTGCCAAGGCAAGCGGAGAGCACCCCAAGCACAGAAAACACAATGCCCTACGGCGTCGTCTGCTAGCCAGAGTCAGCCAGGAGGCAAGCGCTCATACCCTTCCATGGGAGGGAAGAGTAGTGGCGCGCCCCCAGGAAAGTGCCAGGTGTTGGCTCCTCACCCTCCCTGGGTGGACGTCTACTCCGGCAGCGGGGGAAGCGTGTTTGACGCTCATCTCTGCAACCGGGGGGACAGGCATGTGTTCGGCGAGTAGCCAGGTCACAACTTAGTGACTACTTCAGGCCTTGGGGAATTCACCTCATGGGAGAAGAGAGCACCCCCTTCGCAACTGCCAAACCCATGCCCACATATCCCTGTCGTACACAGATTGCGCCGGTGTAGTCCAGTTTGGAAACAGCGAGTGACCGATCCCTGGACCTTCCCAGGTGGTGACATCCGGTTTTGGGATACCGCTAAAATCTCCATCTCCCCCGTCAGTGTCTCCCCTGTTGGGCACTGCCAGGGGACTCTCGCAAGGCAGAAGCAATCAGACAGGAAGTATCAGTTTGCTGGGAAAAGGATCCATACAAAGGGTACATCAGCCAGAACTAAATCCAGGCTTCTACCCAAATGTGTTCGTAGTACCAAACCTACAAGTGGAAGGCATCCAGTTCTGGACCTAGGCAGACTGAATCAGTACGTGCTCCTCGATGGGTTCCAAATGGAGACACCATCCACCGTTTCGACTGGCTAGCCCCTCTAGACTTAAGCAGGGCCTACCTGCACATACCGATGCACCCAACGAGTTGCCATCTACTTCGAATCACCCAGCTGGGCCAAGTATTCAAATTTCAGGTGCCCCCCCCCCCGTTCGGGTTATGCACATCGCCCTACGTGTTTACCAGAGTGATGAAACAGGTAGTGCTGCTGCTTCACCAAATGTCGGTACACCTCAATCCGTACCCAGACTACTGGTTACTACACAACCAGGACAAGGGGTCAATAGCCAAACACATCAGACTAACACAGGATTTACTTCAATCGACAAGTCCCACCTCGACCCAACACGCAGATGGTGTCTCTGGGCATGGAGTTTTGACACAAAGGTAAGCTTGGTTTAGCTATTGCAAGTGTGTTGCTTAGCGGTAAGCAGCCTAACCAAATGCCTAGTCAGTGTTCCTTCAGTGTCCCTCCGAGAACTAATGCGGATCATCGGAATGATGACCTCGGTTTGAAGGGTTGTTCCCCAGGTTGCACTACGCAGCTGCCCGGTATAACGCTGGTTATGACGCCGAGCTCTCCTATGGGAACTAGATAGGCGGGTTTTGATCTGGGACCAAGTGAAGGAAGCCATGCCCGAGTGGCCGTCACTGGCCAACCTTGGACAGGGGGTCCCCTTGGACCCGCTCGCAGCAGGTATGACTCTGGTAACTGATGCCTCCTCCCAAGGTTGGGGAGCGCATCTACTGGAGGAACAAGTCCAAGGATATGGCTCCCCACATTAGTTTCGGAACTACCATATCAACCGGCTCGAACTGAAAGCAGTATACTTAGCACTACCACGCTTTCTATCCGTAGTTCAAGACCACAGAGTCCTGCTCCGCACAGGCAACGCAGCGGTGGTCTCCTTCAAGAAGGAGGGGGGACGCGTTCCTCATCATTGTCAGTTCTAGTGGAGCAAATCCTCCTTTGGTGCCTGGAATACAATGTGGAGCTAACCGCACACCACCTTCCAGGGATGAGGAACAGTCTGGCAGATGCCCTTTCAGGGCGGCTTCGTCTCCAGAACACAGGGTGGTTCATACAAGCCTCCAGGCTGTTTCGGCTGTGAGATGGTCCAGGGTTAGACCGGTTTGCCGCACCCCGGAATGCCAAGCTCCCGACATACGTAACACTCCTGTCGACTACAGAAGCCTGGGCCAGGGTCGCTTTACTAACCCCGTGGACCCACTTAGTTGTGTATGCCTTTCCTCCCTTCCCGCTAGTTCACCGGGCAACGGAGAAAACTTCGACAGGTGCACACCTGCATAATATTATTGGTCGCACCCAATTATCCAAACAAGGCCTAGTTTACACTTCGGTCGGAAATGCTAGTCGAAACACTTCTGAACTTACTGGACCTGCCGTCCCAACCAGACGGCGCACTACCAACGAGCCCAGCGGGTATCACTTACACGCATAGAGGCTCTCATTAGACCCGCACATACGAAAGCTTTATCTGAGTGGGCTGCCAATGTCCTGGCCAGGGCGAACAGGGATTCGATCAATGCAGCCTACATTTCTAGGCTGCAAGCATACACTGATTGGTTTAGTGGAATGGAGATTGATCCATACCATCCCTCTATTGCCCAGGTAGCAGGCTCCTTCGTCCACCTGTTTGATGAAGTGGGTTTGCCCCACGCAGCGATCGTTGGCTACAGATCGGCCTTGTCCCCCACCATTGAGAACGTACGGGAACAAGACTAGCCGATTATCCTATTATTAGGAGACTATTTACTGCTTTCCAGACGCCAAGACCCATACAAGCGAACTGCCCAACTCGGACTTGTTGGCTGTGTTGTCCGCTCTAAGCAGACCGCCCTTTGAGCCTCTCTGATCAGTACCACTCAAATTTTTCAACATGGAAAATAGTCTTCCTACTGGCCCTCGCCTCAGGTAGGCGTCGACCAGAGCTGGGGGCATTGTCTTTCTTGGATGATGTACCGCTGTTATGGACAATCAAGTTGTGCGAAAGACACGAATCGGGTTTCTCGCCTAGAACCAAATCCCAGGACACGATCCTCACCCGATCGTCATCCCCCGGCTGTCAATTTTGTCTGCCCGGAGGGTCAGGAGGAATTGCTTCTCTGCCCAGTTCGAGCACAGAGTTGCTACCAAACCGTACTAAGGGTTCAGGACGGGGTGCCAGGCACATGTCTTTGTGTTACGGCCCATGCAGGCAGGATAGGCCGGCCTCCCCAACTTCCATAACCAGGTGGTTTACTGTGACTGTATTAGAGGTCTATAATAACTTCCTTGACAAAGAGCTTGCAGAGACACCAAGTACGAGACCATGAGGTCTGTGCGATTGTCAACTCACTAGTGCTAGCGTCAGGTGCCCCCTCGAGCATACACGAAGGGCAGGCTTCTGGAGAACGCAGAACGTCTTTATCAACTACCACCTAACAGACACCATATCCATTGAGGAAGGTCTCTTTAGGTTGGGTCCCGTCGTAGTGGGTCAGTCTTGGTTTGCTGACCCAGCCTGATGACCACAAGGGTCCGTGCGCATAGGCAATAAGTCAGTCTCGGCATTTTATGCGGACAGATTTCTCTACCGTCAGCACTCCCCTGGAAGCTCCTAGGTCCCACTTTGCGGCCTATGCCCTCATGCAGAACTGTTTTGGTCTTTACTTCGAAAGCTTACTACCCCCAGAATTGGGTTGGGGTCTAGCTTTCTTGGGCACACCGAACCTTGTCACCGTAGCAGCATTCTGGCTTCTTGGTCCGGGGGCAGCACAGGCAAGGTAAGACAACACCCTTTTTTGGGCCTTAACCAGGGTGTTGAGTAATTATTGTATTTCATCCCGGACAGGGAAAAGACTTTCATCATTTTTCTGTTTGCTCGGAAAACCCGCCACCTATCGGCGTCTGACTCTGCCTACAGTTCAAAATAGTCATTTTGACTGACCGGAGTCTATGGTGGGTAATTGAACGTAGTGAATTTGGGCAGAGGATTCTCTGAACCCACCATAGACTCCGGGTCCCCCCAACCACCCCCAACCACCGCCGGTATGAACTATGTGAATAGGCGGGTTCGGAGAACCCTCTGCCTAATACTGTCGTATTCGGGATGACAATAATAACAGTCATAAAGCTTAGTTGATTTTCAATGCGCCTTTTCCAAAGGTAAAAAATGTTAACTCATGCTAAGAAATTGTGTGCGAGCGCTTAGCACAACTAAACAATGGTAAGTATGAGCTAAACCTGACCTGTTTTAAAGACTTTGGTCTAGACCCTTAGCATGGGCCACAGTCCCTCTGATAGGGACTATGCATGGGCTAATCACACAAAAAATACCATTGTACTCAATGTTAATTTGGAAGATTTGCTATTTTATTCATAACTATTCTTTCGGTATGCTATTCCTGACATGACAACCTTCCTTACTACTGTGCTGAGCAATCATACTTGAAATAACTGAGATATGTGTGTGTGTGTGCGCTACAGAGAGTGCTAACTGTTCCTTCCTGTGCAGGAAAGTACCGCCGTTTTTTTAATCACGGGGTCACAATATAACAACCGCTATCCAACCATAAACTAGATGATCGATGAATGTTGAGAATCAAAACACTGCCAAAATTTGAGACTGTATGTATGCACCATTTGTGTTATTAATTTCATCCAAAGTAGTTTATACACATTTGTGAAAATAACCTTCTTAAATTTATGTTCAGTAAATTATGGTGAATATATTAATTTCAAAATAATCATTGACGTCTCTTGCTGCAATTTTTATTGTTCAGTGCAACATGGATTGTAAAACAGAGAGGAGTGGTAAAAACTATATCAACAGAAACTAGAGTACTGAAATAATATTCGGAGAGTTAAACTCTCGATTTTGTTCTGAGAAACAATTACCTAACATTCTTTAGGGATGTTACTTTGTCGATTTGCAATACAATGAAACCACGCCGAAACGTCTCGTAATAAATTATTACAAAATGGAGATTTTCCGTCTCCTTTCAACTTCACTTTCTGGGAAACAGCATTGTTAGTTGTAGTCGAAGTCACACATTGGTCGTGGGCTTCTAAAAGCATTTCTCGTAACTCCTTTAATTCGTCATAGAAAGTTGGCCCGAATTCACGAATCTTGTCCCACAACGTTGCGTTAAAGTGTTCATAGAGTAAGTAATCTGCTCTTGACCACAGTCGAACCTGGCCCTCTAGAGCCGGTGCTATTTCATTCCGATGTGCATGCTGGTTTTTGGCAAAGTAAAGAATGTTTTCAGTTTCCCAACATAACACGTGCTTCATCAAAATAAGGGATTCGTCAAAATATTCTGTGATGAGCACTAAATCTAGATCTTTACTGAGAGTGTTTATCCTGTTTTTTACAATGACGTCATCGGACGTTTCTTTTAAAGTCAAACCTAAATCCCTCATCATTTGATTTCTGGAGTGGTGTGTGCCACCATTTTCAAACCTCGTCGGATCTTCCATGAAACGGTGTAAGCTTTCCATGACAGGCTCTCGTTGCCATGGAAACGCGGACATGAGCGATTCCAATCTAGCAGTCGGCTCTCTGAGAATGGTGACTCGTTTGGGTATACCCTGCATGTATGGGTCTGCCTCTGAATAGTTTATGTGACAAGTGAACATC